ACAGTGTGTGTGTGTGTGTGTGTGTGTGTGTGTGTGTGTGTGTGTGTGTGTGTGTGTGTGTGTGTGAGAGAGAGAGAGAGAGAGAGAGAGAGAGAACGTCTGCTTTTCCTTTTAGAGCATGGAGACACAAAGAGGGAACGCTCGTACACAATATTTCAACAGACAGATGTAAAGAATTAACAGCAAACTTAAACAAATGTTTAGGTGCTATATGTCAGTCACGATGAATTTTTAGGACTATATTTGTTTTGGTGCTGTCTGTCAGTTACGATGAATTTATAGGACTATAAACACTCTCTCTCTCTAGCTAATCGGGCCAGCTGACCTGTTGCTACCCTTCTTCCCGTGAATGCAACGTGCGGTCATTATGTATTTGTGGTATCTTTCAGTCTAATTACAACCAGGATGACCGTGTGCTGTATTCGGGGGAAAAGAAAGCAGGGTAGCGAATTGGCCCCAGCGGACCTGTCGCTACCCATCTTAACCCGAATACAACGTACAGGTATTACAGCTGTATGTATTTGGGGCAACTTTGAGTCTAGATAAAACAATAATGACCTTTCGCTCCGGTTAAGGCGGGTGGCGAACTGACCCTTTTGACGTAACCCCGCCTTCCCCCGCCTTTCGCCGACGGCAGTGACCACCTCCCAGCCCCCACAATTTTCAGGAGATAATTGCTGTCCTGCCACGTAGGATAGGAGGAATAATGATCCAAACAGCAAGGGACCGATCGGAGGGATCCAGAGTACTCGCACAGCACAAAACAAAATCGATGCTACAGGCTCTTCTTTCTGGAGGGATCCAGAGTACTCCCAAAACAAAACACGCAAAGATAATGAAAAAGAATGTTCGGTGCTCTCAGACTCATCTTTTTCTTAGTGTGAAAGAAGCGGCATATGATAGGGCATTTCCTTATACTTTTTCTTTCTTTTGTGCTTTTTTCTTTTTCATTTTTTGTGGGCGAAGCTGCAACGGGTTACCTAGTGTGGATGAGATTCTCTCCTCTCAGCCTCCTGTCAACTTATTACGCGCTGCCACGTAGCGTGTGAAGAACAAAGATTTCTATTCTTCAGATTGGAGGGCAAAGAGGCTGCAAGCGAGGGAGAGGGGCAGAGAAAGGGAGGGAGTGGGAGGAAGAGGGACGAAGAGGGCCGGAGAGGGAGGGAGAGGGACGGAAAGGGAAGGAAAGGGAGGGAGAGGGAGGGAGGGGGAGAGAGAGGGAGGGAGAGAGAGAGGGAAAGGGAGGGAGGGAGAGGGAAAAGGCGGAGGGAGGAGGTAGAAAGAGGGAGAGGGGAGAGAGGGAGGAAGCGACAAGGAAGGGAGCACGACGGAGGGAGGAAGGGGGGGGGGGACTGACAACAGCTTCACCAGAGAAGAAAGAGGGAGGGCAGGAGAGAGCGGGCGAGAAAGTGAGAGGGGCAATGTGGCGGAAGGCGGGGTAAGGTGGCGGACGGCGGGGGAAGGTTGCGGGGGCGGCGGAGGAACGAGTGTGTGTGTGTGTGTGTGTGTGTGTGTGTGTGTGTGTGTGTGTG